ACCATTTTATCAAGTTATGTGTTAAAATAAGACTTGTAGTTGTCTTTACAGTAAGCAATAGTAGCCAAGAGTACCAAAGTGTCATCGTCAGTACAAAGGGAGCTGGCTTTCCTCACTCCACAACATTATAACACAGTGACTAGTGTTACAAAACTTGTATAAAGAACAGAGACCTGCCCAGCTGGTGTGGCTCAGTGGTTGTGTCAATCTATGAACCAAGAGGTCACAATTCAATTCCCAGTCAGGGCACCTGCCTCAATTGTGGACTTGATCCCCAGTAGGGGGAGTAAGGGAGACAGCCAATCAATGATTCTCTGTCATCACTGATGTTTCTATCTCTGTCCCTCTCCTTTCCTCTCTGAAATCAATAAAATATCTTTTTAAAAAAAGAACAGAGACCCGCTTGGCAGCTAGGAAAGGAATCTGGTAAGGCTAAACCCAGACCTGAATACAATGCCCAGGACCACCACATACAAGACAGCTAGCTGTCCAGGCTGTTTCCTCATCTAGCATGTGGGGCTAGCAAGTTGAAACTGGAAAAATGATTTAATACATCATCACACTAAGCCCTGTGGAGGGCACATGAGGAGGCGGCTCCAGATCTTTCAAATAATTACCTCTCCTCCACTGCTTTCATCTTCTTCATCTGACACTTCCTCATCTTCACTATCTTCTTCTACCTCCTTTGGAGGAGAAGCCATTTTCGTGGGGTCACCTTGATTTTTACCAGATTACAACAGACACGGTCATTAGCACATTACACCTCCCACATTTCAGGCCACTCACATTTTGCCTGCAGTCATCTCCCTTTCTCAGAATCCACTTTTCATTCTGTTAAATATTACAAATAAGGTAAACCAATCTTAGGTAAAAAGACAGTTTTAGCCTTTGCTGGTTTGGCTCAGTGGATAGAACATTGGCCTGCAGATTGAGGGGTCCCCGGGTTTGATTCCGGTCAAGGGCATGTACCTCAGTTGCAAGGCTTGGGTCCTGGTTGGGGCTCATGCAGAAGGCAACCAATGGGTGTTTCTCTCACATCGATATTGCTGTCTGTCTTTCCTTCTCTTTAAAAATTAATGGAGCCCTGGCTTGTTTGGCTAAGTGGATAGAGTGTAGGCCTGTGGACTGAAGGGTCCCAGGTTCGATTCCGGTCAGGGGCACATGCCCGGGTTGCGGGCTCCGTCCCCAGGGGGTGGGGGAAAGGAGGCAGCCAGTCGGTGATCCTCTCTCATCATTGATGTTTCTATCTCTCTCCCTTTCTCTTCCTCTCTGAAATAAAAAAAAAATATTTCAAAAAGAAAGGTTATTCCTTTAAAAAAATAAAAATGGGAAAATATCCTCGGGTAAGGATTAAAAATGAAATAAACAATTTCAAACATACGATCTCCCTCCTATTGCCTTCATTTAGCATACCTGTTTTATTTATTTATTTTAAAATATAGTTTATTGATTTTTTTACAGACAGGAAGGGAGAGGGATAGGGAGTTAGAAACATCAATGAGAGAGAGACGCCCTTCAGCTGCCTACTGCACACCCCTTACTGGGGATGTGCCGGCAACCAAGGTACATGCCCCTGACCAGAATTGAACCTGGGACCTTTCAGTCCACAGGCTGACGCTCGCCACTGAGCCAAACTGGTCAGGGCTAGCACAGCTGTTTTAAAAATGATACTTCCAGCCCCAGCCGGTTTGGCCTGCAGACTGAATGGTCCTCGACTGGATTCGGGTCAGGGCACATGCCTGGGGTA